TGCACTTTAAAACATTTTGAGGAAGGGCAAGTATCAAAATGAGGGGAAAAAATGCAGCTACCAGATGTGTGTTTAAGCTGGTGAATATTTAATTTTTATTGGAGAATGGAATATGAAACCTAATTTTACAGGCCTTTTTTATCTCCTGTTCTGGCGTTAGAAATTTTAGCAGTGCAGGAAAAAAAAATAGAATGAGATTCAGTTGAATTGGTGCCGTTGCTTTGCAATATGTGAGAAGTGAAGTAAAAAAACCCTTGTTTTAAACATGGATAAAAACTGAAAGAACTGTGGATGCCGCAAATCAGAAACAAAAACAGAAATTGCTGGAAGAACTCAGCAGGTCAGGCTGCAGGTGTGGAGAGAAATCAGACTTAACGTTTCGGGTCCAGTGACCCTTCCTCAGAACTCAAAGTTCTGAAGGAGGGTCACTGGACCCAAAATGTTGACTCTGATTTCTTTCCACAGATGCTGCCAGACCTGCTGATCTTTACCAGCAATTTCTGTTTTTGTTTTAAAGCTAGTATCACCTTGATTTTGGTTGCGAATAGAATGTTGTAACTTCTCATTGGCATTGGCACTGGGTCCTGATTTTAAACTGGGACAGACAGGAAAATGAAAACCCTGCCTCTTCCTACGCCCAGGACCACCCGACCCCCCCCCCGCCCCAAGCCATTTCCAGCTATGTTTTTGTTTCGATTCATTCTTTGGATATGACCACCATCCTGGATTTGTCTTGAAGTAGCGGTCAGCTCACTACAATTCAGAGGTTTGCTCGGCCAAATCAGAGAGGCTGTTAAGAATCAACCGCGTTGCTGTGGGTCTGGAGTTACTTGTAGGTCAGACCAGGCATACGTCTTTTCGCGGAGACACTGTTTATTCCTGACTGTTTTCCTGCTGTGGCCACATTTTTTAATGCTGGAAAATTGCTGTGATTGAGCATGGTGCGGCAGAGGATCAGGGCTGATGGTGGTGTAAGGGTGGAGCTATGAGGTGAGGCTATTGGGTTATGAGAGTTGAGAAGTACCACTGTAGAACTGGAGGAACAGCAGTCGGGAGGAAAGGGCCATTTCCTCCCCCAACAATTTTGCAGGCTCTGATGGAAGCTGTAATGGCATTTTGCAGCCCTTTCCCTTGGGATACACACTCTGAGCCAGAGTAAGAGAACTTGTTGTCACGGGGTCTTGGGGCCAAACCCAGCTGTGACCCCAGTTCATCCTGGGAAAGAATTTACAAGAGTCGTCCCAGGAATGAGAAACTTCCCTCATGAGCATAGCTTGAAGAAGTTGAGACTATTCTCTGTGGACAGAAGGAAGAGATTTGAGAGAGATTTCCAAAGTCATGAGCAGACTGAATGCAGTATGTAGGGAAAAGCGGTTACCCCTTATAAAAGGGGTAGACTTAAAGTGAACTGCAAACGAATCAAGGGTGATATGAGGAAAAAAAAAATGTTTTCACACAGCAAGTAGTTAGCATTTGGAATGCACTGCCTGGAACTGTGCTGGAGGCAGGTTCAAAAGGGGATTGGATTTTCGTCTATATAAAAATGGTGCGCAGGGACATGAGGAAAAGTCAGGGGATTGGCACGAGATAGTAGAACTGCAGCTGGCACAGTGACCTGAATCGTCTCCTTCTGCATTATAATGATTCTCTGACTGACTTTGAGGAGCTTCCTAAAGGAAATTAGTGGCTTCTTTTTAGCAGCAATCCAGTCATTTCATGATCACTATTAATCATCTAATTCCAGATTGATTGATTAATTAATTTAATTCACATTCCTCCAGGGGCTTTGATGGGATTTGAACTCACAACCTTGGATCATTAGTCTGGGCCTCACATCCAGTTGGGTAACACTGCTGTTTGGCAAGCTGGCCTTGGACAAGACTCCTGTTGAAAGCAGGCAGGTGTCTCCTTCGAGACAACAAGGTGCAGGGCCGGATGAACACAGCAGGCCAAGCAGCATCATAGGAGCAGAAAGGCTGATGTTTCGGGACTCCTTCAGATGCTAAAGTTCCAGACCAATAACACCGTCACTGCCAAGACCGAGTTTCAAGAATTGTTTCTGTTTGCTGCTTAGCCACAACAACTTGGCAGAAGTAGCTGACTGACCAGAAGAGGCAGAATTAAGTTTTGAAACTTTGCCTCTGCCCAGAGAGGGGAAAAAAATGTTTTAAAATCAAATGGTATTACTTGAAAATGAAGGTGCGGGTTGTACTGGTGCTCCATGTTCAAGTATACAAGACAAGTCTGACCAGTGAGTCTCGTTCACTTGTTTTACTGGTTTATTCTTGGGGGTTGTAGACCACGAGGAGAAGCAGAGCTCATGTTCCATTCATGGCAAGGAGTGTGTGAGGCTCCACAGTCTGGTATTCACCTCAAACGTAGGGGAAATCTGACTTGTTCCTTATATGGAGCACTTTATAGCCAATGAAGAGAGAATGCAGTTGTACTGGGGGCACAGCATGCTCCCTCAAACACAAATAATGACCAGACGGTCGGTTTTTTTGATTTTGGTTAAGGGATAAGTATTGACCAAAAGTAGTGATGATGCTATTTGTCAAAACAAAGTTATGGCATTTCTTACATTCACTGGAGTGAGCAAATGGGGCCTCAGTTTAGTGCCTCGTTCAAATGATTGAAAACACAGCAAACCGCAGCATGTGTTTTTGCAAGTTTGTAAACCTCTACAAATGGTATTTGCTGCTGGACGTTTTTTATTCTTTGAAGGTGAACTGTTGGAGCTAATGGCTTGCAGCTTCTGCTATTGCAGTTGGTCTTGATATCGATGCTAAGTTTCATTTCAGTTTAACATGAATACCTTTTGTGATTCTCCTGCCATTTTTACAGTGAGCAATATGCTGATGGATAGAATGAATTGGAATAAAGATAAGCACAGACTATGGGAGATTGCATTCACTTTTGTCATGTCGATGCAGAACTCAAATGTAGCTGAAAAGAGAGGCATGTTGTCGAAGGTTTTTGTCTTACATTCCTCCAGACCATCAGCCAAGATCCTATTGAATGGGGGGAGCAGGTTCGAGGGGCCGAACAGCCCACTCCTGTTCCTGTTTCCTCTGGACCAAATGCAAGAATGCCAAATTTTATACACTTACAACAATTTATACTGTAGGACAAAAGGAAGTTAGTGTGTCAGCAAGGCTTTGGCCTGTTAAGCACAAACTGTTGGATTCAACTGGATTAAGTCATACCATATTAGAGTAGTCCATTGCTTCTATCTTTGACAGAGCTGCCTAATTAGGTACTCTCCATTGCTCCGAAATGTACATTTTTTTTCAAAATTGCATTAAGATGAGAACCTCTTTAAGTCGTAATTCTTTGAGATTTTGGTTGCCTTGCTCTCGGAAGGATATTATTAAATTGGAAAGGGTGTAGAAAAGATTTATCAGGGTGTTAGCAGTTTCGGAGGGTTTGAGTTATAAGGATAAGCTGAATAGGCTGGGCTTTTTTTCCCTAGAGCATAGGAGGCTGAGGGATGACCTTACAGAGATTTATAAAATCACGAGGGGCATAGATAAGGTGCATTTTTCCAGTGTAGAGGAGTTCAAAACTAGAGGGCATAGGTTTAAGGTGAGAGGGGAAGGATTTAAAAGGGACCTTAGGGGCAACCTTTTCACACAGAAGGTGGTGCGTGTATGGAATGGTGCGTGTTGGAGGAAGCAGTAGATGCGGTATAGTACCATATATGTTAAAGATATTTGGACAGATACATGAATAGGAAAGGTTTAAAGGGATATAGGCTAATTACAGGCAAGTGGAACTAGTTTAATTTGGGAAACCTAGTCAGCATGGATGAGTTGGTCTGTTTCCATGCTGTATGTCTCACAGACTCTATTTCAATTTGAGAATGCTCAATGTTATTCTGCAATTTTCCATAGAAGAGAGTAGTATTTTTACAACTTGAACTGTTGCAGTGTGTGTCAAAATGGAGCTCCTGCAGGGAAGTCATCGAAGGAATTCCAGGATATTTTCCCAGTTCACATGGCAACATGTGCCCGAGTTAAAACAGTCTGTAATTTGCACTGAAATGTGGAGGTAATAGCATTCTTGTGATACCTCTGCTGTTGCCCTTTCTTGGTAATAGGGGGCTGGAACGTTGAGATGACTTGCCAGGAGGTTTTGAAAGTTTTTCTCCTTGCCAACAATGGCAACGACTGGCATTCACGTAACACCTTTAACATAGTACAGCCATTCAGAGCACCTCACAGCATCAAAATCATTCAAAAGAACGACACGAGGTGGAAGGACAGATGACAAAAAGGTTGATCAAAGAGGTGAGTTTTAACGACTGGCCTAAAAGAGGAGACAGAGACAGAGAGGTTTAATGAGGGAATTCAAGATCCTAGCACATAGAAGGCTGAAAGCAAGAAGACAAGGTAGACAAAAGAAATTACCATTAGTCATCAGGGATGCTTTAAGGGTGATTCGTAATGCATTGATTTTGTTTTGAATGTTATTTGAATCTGAAGTTACTGCACTATCACTTGCCTTCTATAAATTTGAGTGGAATGTAATTCACATTTTATTTTCTCTCAAAACGCGTTATGTCACTGTACTCATCAAGTAATGCAGCTCTGAACGTAACAGGCTCTCCGTTCTACTAAGGAAGCCCCATCAGGAAATGTCTAATGCCAGATCACAGCTTTCGAACAATCACTCCAGTTGTTTCTATGTCCGCAGTTATTGTCTGCATTCTGCCCTTTAGTGTAACGAGGAGTAATATTCTAGAATGTAAGACTACTTCCGTTTGAAATCTGTACATTACAAACAGAACAACATCCTGCAACTCACTTTGAGGTTGCTGTCCTGAAGAGTCTTTCAAAAGATGCCAATCTGACACTGTTCTTTTTTTAAACGTCGTACTCCCAGCAGTTTGCTAAACAGTAAATCTTTCCGCCCTTTTCCCAGATATCAAGGATAGTTTTTATTCTTTTCCCCTTTAGCTTTCCTGTTGGGCATTAATGCAGATTTCTCTTCCTTTTCAGTTGTATTTGGTGATTGTCTGGACTTTTGAGATCTACATGATCCCACTCGCCTTTTTGATGCTTTTTGCCTGGAACTACATTCAGATGGCCAGAGGGAAAGTTGTCAACCAGCACTACATGGTGAGTTATTGATGAGACTGATCTTTTCCAGTGGAGGAAACGTGCCTTTACAAAAGACTGAATAATATCCCAGGTGGTAACGAAAAGCAAAAGTCTCCTTCTGTTAAAATGGCATACATAATACAAGACTTGCAATTATGTAGTGGCTCATATGACCACCAGCCATCCCTAAGTGTGTTACAGCTACTTTTTAGCTACTTCTAAGGTATTTTTGAAGTGTACTCATTGTTATAGGAAACTCAGCAGCCAATTTGCACACGGGGTCCTGATGAGTTCATTGGTTTGTGTGCTGATGATAGCGGGACATGTATTGGCTAGGGGCACCAGGATCAGTTCCCCTGCTGTTTTTCTTCCATGGGCTCTTTCACATCCATGAGAGAAGTCAGATGGGGCCTTGGGTTTGACATCCCATTCAAAACATGGTATCCCTGATTCTGTAGCACACCCTCAGTACTACATAGAAACATCAGCTTTTATACTTAGCCCTGGACTGAGTCTTGATCCAGAAACCTTGTGGCTGAGGGGCATGAGTGCAACCAGTAGAGCCACCGCTGACACTTAATCATATTAGTAAGTAAAGGACACTTGTAAACATAATAAACCTGCCCCAGACATTTAGATGATCCATTAGTTATGGCAGTGTAGACTGGAGCCACGTTTTCGGATGCAGCTGAGTCCTAACAAAGGGTTTTGGCCCGAAATGTTGACTTTCCCTCTCCTCAGATGCTGTCTGACCTGCTGTGCTTTTCCAGCCTCCCACCTAAGGACTCTGGCTTCCAGCATCTGCAGTCCTTATTGTCTCCTGGTTCTTGAGGGAATTGCCAAGAGAATTAAAATTTGGAACCCTCTGAAAAACCCCCTCAAAGTTTAAAATTTGGAGAGTTTTCACTTGCCACTAGGAAAAGGTAGCGGATTAAAAACCTACCTGCCACCCCCATCCCCCTCCTTCACCCACCTGGCACCCTTCCCCATCACCCACCTGGCACCCTCTCATTCCCACCCAACTGGCAGTCTACCTCCTTTACTGACCTAATGCTGTATCCTATCACCCTCCCAGCAGCCTACCTCTCCTCACCCACCTGATTTCCTCCCACATCCTACACCCTTCATCCACCTGGCACCCTACCCCATCACCCACCTGGCACCCTCTCATTCCCACCCAACTGGCAGCCGACCTTCTTTACTGACCTAATGCTGTATCCTATCACCCTCCCAGCAGCCTACCCTTCCTACCCCAAGTGATTTCCTCCCACATCCTACACCCTTCACCCACCTGGCAGTCCACATAAAAACAGAAAGGGCTAGAGAAACTCAGCAGGCCTGGCAGCACCCGTGGAGGGAGAAACACAGTTAATGTTTCAGCAATGGTGACCTTCTGTCAGCACAACATTCTACATTACTCACTGACCTGGAGGGCCTATCGACCTCATCCACCTGACATCTTACGTCCCTTCACCCAGCTGGCACCATACCCCCTGCCCCATCACCTACCATCCTAGCCCCACATTTACCTTACATACTTACCCTTTGAGATGAGCTACCAAAGTGATGGGCGGTGTTGCTGGACACTTAACCACAGAATATCTGTGATCTACATTTTCTGGGCCACTGGATCAGTGGACTGATCGTATTGTTCACTGGATCACAGCTAGTTCAGAGTGGGGCTTTTTGTGGTATAAAATTTGTTGATCTCTTGAGATTTAATCCGGATTAAATATCCATCTTGATATCTGTTTGGGATTCCTGTGGTCTGGGTGCTATATCTGAAGCAGATCAGTGGAACCAGTAATAGCCATTGATGCCAATTCTCTGGGGATTTAATCAAACTCTCCCTGGAGTTACAGTAAGCACTTACGAAAACCGTCTGAAAACTCAAGGTCTGGGTTGTCTGTGTGTCACACTGAGAAGTTCTTTGCAAAATGACGTCTGCTCTTCTGCTTTTTCATTGTTTTTGTAGCCTATAGGGGAGGTGATGGCCTTGTATTATCACTGGACTGTTAATCCAGAGACCCAGGTAATGTTCTGGGGAAACAAGAACAGAAGTTGCTGGAAAAGCTCAGCAGGTCTGGCAGCATCTGTGAAGATAAAATCAGAGTTAACATTTTGCGTGCAGTAACCCTTCCTCAAAACTGATGGTGGCTGGGAAAACGTTGGTTTATATGCAGAAAATACGGAGGGGAATGAGGTGGGGAGTAAACGACATGATAGAGCCCAAAGAGAGGGAAAAGCAGTTGGATAGACAAAAAAGTTTATAACGATCTGACTAGGAGGGTGAATAGTTGTTAATGGGGACTGTTTGTGACTAACAATAGGTAGTGTGTAATGGCAGGCTATGTGATAAAAAAAGTCTGCTGTGTGGGGTAGGGGGCTGGGACATGGGAGAGTTTAGGCCCCAAAATTATTGAACTCTGTATTGAGTCCAGAGGGCTACAGGGTCCCCAAGCAGAAAATGAGGTGTTGTTCTTCCAGCTTGCGTTGAGCTTTGCTGGAACACTGCAGCAAGCCAGAGACAGAGATGTTGGCCAGGGAACAGTGGGGGGTGTGTTATCGTGGCAGGTAACTGGTAGATCAGGATCATTTTCTGTGAGCATAAAGTAGATGTTCTGTGAAGCGGTCACCAAGTCTAGGCTTCGATTCCCCAATGTAGAGGAGACCACATTGTGAGCAGCGAATGCAGTAGACGAGATTCTGGGAAGTGTAGGTGAAGTGTTACTTCACCTGGAAGGTATGTTTGGGCCCTTGGATACTGGGGAGGGAGGAAGTAAATGGGCAGGTGTTGCACCTTAGCTGGTTAGGGCTGTGGGGAGGTGTTGGGGGTGAAGGAAGTGTGGACCAGGGTGTCCCGGAGGGAACGGTCCCTGCGGAAGGCGGACAAGGGAGGGGAGGGGAACATGTGTCTGGTGGTGGCATCTCACTGGTGGTGGCGGCAATGGCGTCTGATGATCTTCTGGATGTGGATGCTGGTGGGATGGTAGGTAAGGACATGGGGAACCCTATCGCTGTTGTGGGAGGGAAGGGATGGGGTGAGGATGGAAGTGTGGGAGGTGGGTTGGACCAGGTTGAGGGCCCTGATGACAACAGTGCTGGGGAATCCTCAGTTGAGGAAGAATGTTCTGGGGAACCTAGTTCAAATCCCACCATGACAGATGGTAGAATTTGAATCCAGTAAAAGCAAAATCTGGAATTACAGTCTAATGATGACTTTGAATCCATTGTTGATTTTTGCGAGAAAACCCATCTGATTCACTAATGTCCTTTAGCGAAAGAAACTGCCATCCTTATCTGGTCTGGCCTACATGTGACTCTAGAGCCACAGTAATGTAGCTGATTCTTAACTGCCCTCTGGGTAATTAGGGATGGGCAGTAAATGCTGCCGGGCCAGTGACACCCTCTTCCAAAGTCGCATGGATATGACCTGACCATACCAGGGCCATTTTGCCCACCTGTGCAGTAAAAGGAGAAGGAAACCACAGTCATGCTGCTGTTAAATGTGTTGTGCTTTTCGGAGGTGATCAATCTGTCACTCACAGCATGAGGTTGCAAGCTGGCGACAGAGTAGGACAGTCTGCTGTCTGCTCCACCTGCTCCTCTTCTCCTTTCTCTTCTCTATTTCCTCCTCCTAGTGCTTTTCTTCTTCGCCTTTTCCTTTTCTCCCCCTCCGACTCCTGTCTTCCTCCTCCTCCTCCTCCGACAACTCCCAGTGACCTCTGGCGAGGAGCGACGATCTCTGGCCTCCAGCGATGACTCCCTGCGTAGAGTGGCATCCTCTCGCTCTAGCACAGCAGCATCCCGTGGCGTGGCATGGCTAGCACCCAGCTTCCCACAGTGGCCACCAGGTGTGGTGTGGTGACCTTCTGGCCTCTTGCAACGGCTTCCTGGCGTTGCGTGTTGCTGGCGCGGTGTGGAGTCAGGGCCCAGTGCGGGCTGGAAGCTCAGTGCCAGCGTGGTCTGTTGTACTGACCTCTTTTCTGTAATGCTGGACATTTTATTTCTGTACTGTATAAAATCTTGTAACAAAAGAAGCTGTGCCTCGGTACTTTTGTATCTAAGTTGGCACTGCGATTGGCAACGTTTAAACTTTTCACTGTAATCATTGAATATATGTGACAAAAAAAGCTCTTTGAATTCTATTCTATCTTATTGTATTCACTTGGGCGGGAATGCAGCAGGAAGTAAATGGAATCTCCATGACGCAGATGGAGCAGTTACAAGAGAAGTTCCTGGCCCTCCTGTGCCAGGTTTGTCCTGTAGCTCGACGTGAATTGCAAACTCTGAGAAGCTAAGCATGAAGGAGGAATGTCTTTCTTGACGTGTTAAAGGAATCAGTTGCCACTTTGAGGAGCGAAAAGCCCCACACACACCTTCGGTGGCAATACAGCTAGTTCTGCTCTAAGAGATAGTAGGAACTGCCGATGCTGGAGTCAGAGATAACACGGTGTGGAGCTGGAGGAACACAGCAGGCCAGGCAGCATCAGAGGAGCAGGAAAGCTGACGTTTCGGGATGGGACTGTTTTTCAGACCCAGTTCTGCTATAACGCTGTTTCGTTAAAGTGAATTTGGTTGCATTGCCACTGATGAATAGTGAGTGCTGTTTGTATAACACACAGTTTTTGCTGTACAGATTTAGCGATTTCACTATAACGTGATCTTCTATAGCGCGAGGTCACACAACAATGCAACTATTGCGTTATAGGAGAACGAACTGTAATGCCATAAGCATGTTGTTGCTATCCGTATCTTTTCAAACACGTCCATGCCATGTATTTCAAAGCAAGTTTGATGGATGAGTGATGGGAAATAGTCTGTCAAACATTTCTCCATGATGAGTGCCCCTTTTAAGTCTGTTTTGCAGCAGCGTTAGTTTCTATAACATGTCATTTGAATGACTTCACCGACCTTGACTCTCCGGCCTACAGTTCTTACAGAGCGTTAAATCACAGGCCTGGAGCCAAGGACACAGGTCAGCCATGTGACTGCACAAAACAGTGTGTGTTACTGGA